GGGTTGGGTTTGAGGGTATACTTGTCTTTCCTGTGTGTCGCCAAAAACTTCTTGGCGCCAATGAAGACTAATCCTTGGGTATCTTAAGACAGCATCATTCAGAGTAGCTTTTATTATTGGGTATCTTAACACAGCATTCAGAGTAGCTTTTATTATTGGGTATCTTAACACAGCATTCAGAGTATCTTTTATTATTTGGTATCTTAACACAGCATTCAGAGTAGCTTTCATTATTGAGTATCTAAACACAGCATTCAGAGTAGCTTTTATTATTGAGTATCTAAACACAGCATTCAGAGTAGCTTTTATTATTGGGTATCTTAAGACAGCATTCAGAGTAGCTTTCATTATTGAGTATCTAAACACAGCATTCAGAGTAGCTTTCATTATTGAGTATCTAAACACAGCATTCAGAGTAGCTTTCATTATTGAGTATCTAAACACAGCATTCAGAGTAGCTTTTATTATTGAGTATCTAAACACAGCATTCAGAGTAGCTTTCATTATTGAGTATCTAAACACAGCATTCAGAGTAGCTTTTATTATTGAGTATCTAAACACAGCATTCAGAGTAGCTTTTATTATTGAGTATCTAAACACAGCATTCAGATCAACTTTTCTTATTCATCACAACTTTCCCAAAACATACTAATAAGCCTTGGGAAAGGGGGGGGGGGGGTGATATGTCACCACTCGCTCGGTTTACGCCCAAAGGCAGCAAGTTGTGAGTCATTGATGTGAATAATTAATGTCACATTTCCCTTAGACTGTACCGCATTCAACGAACATTCATTACAGAGACACACAGACACATACAAACACGTGGCTATGGGCCGTGGTGGTCCTCCGAATGCACGGACATTACAAAGACACACACATACTTTACAAAGAGATGCACTCACATGGCTATGGGCCGTGGTGGTCCTCCATATGCAGGTGTCGTTTGACACACACATACATTAAAAAGAAGTTCACCCACACATTCATTCATAGTACCGACATCGCCCTTATAAATATCGGGACTGCAATCGCCATTCATAGTATCGACATCATCCTGTCCTTGGACCGTTGGGGCGCCACAGATGACATGAAAACTATCCTGCATTACTCTCTGTTTCCTGCACTACGACCAGCATCGCCTGGTTTTAGTCCCGTCCAGTCTTTGATGTTATCATCCCATCCATTTCTCTGTCGTCCGCTTCTTCTCCCTCCTCTCGTTGTGCCCTGCATGATTTCTTTGGCGAGCCCTTGTTTTCTTGTCACGTGTCCATACCATTTCAATTTCCGCTTTTTTTTAGAATCACCAGAAGGTCATCGTACTGCACAATTGCTTGACGAATCCTTTCTTTCACTTGTTCGTTAGAGATATGGTCTCTAAAGCAGATTTCAAGAATGCTTCTGGAACATCTCATCTCCATCGCATTTATTTGTCTTTCAAGTTCTGCTGTTAATGTCCAGGACTCACAGGCATACAAGGATATGGAGAGGACTAATGAGCTCATCAGCCTGATTTTGGTGCTGGGGACTATATTTTTGTCATTCCATATTTTCTTAAGCCTCTTTAGTGCTGTTGTGTTCTGGGCAATCCTGGACATCAATTTGGGCTTGGGGCCTTCTTCCGAGGTCATTGCTCCATTGAGCAGATCCTAAACCTCCGAATACTATGTGAGAAATATGCTCAACACCAACAAAACCTATACCACGTCTTTGTGTATTTCAAGAAAGCATTCAACAGGGTTTGGCATGCTGCTTTATGGGCCACCATGAGGCACTACAACATCAACACAAACCTAACCAGAATGACATGCAGCCTCTATGATAAGCCCACCAGTGCAGTCTTCTGCGACAGTAACACCGGAAATTGGTTCAAGACCACGGTTGGAGTACGACAAGGCTGCCTGCTCTCCCCCCACCCTGTTCAACATCTTCTTGGAGAGGATTATGTCAGATGCACTGGGAGCGCATGTAGGGACAGTCAGCATTGGTGGCAGAACAATCACCAACCTACGTTTTGTGAGTGACAGGGATGGTCTGGCTGGAATCGAAGATGAGCTAGCCAACCTAGTAAAGCGTCTCGACAAGACTTCCCCGTCCTTTGGCATGCAAATCAGTGCAGAAGAGACAAAGTTGATGACGAATAGCACCGCCGGCAGCTCCACTGAAATTAACGGTCGGGGAGGATAGATAAGAGAGAGTAGGCAGTATCGCCATAGCCCGTATAAATATCGGGTTTGTAATCGCCATTCGTAGTATCGCCATAGCCCGTATAAATATCGGGTTTGTAATCGCCATTCATAGTATCGACATAGCCCAAATAAATATCTATTTTGTAATCGGTACCATCGCAATCCACAAATGAATCATTTGTTTTTAAGCGCACACGTTTCATTGAATTATGTAGCGTAATCACGTGTATGCAGTGTGTGCTAGCTTGGGGAGACGTGCATTGTGTGCTAGCTTGGGGAGACGTGCATTGTGTGCTAGCTTGGGGAGACGTGCATTGTGTGCTAGCTTGGGGAGACGTGCATTGTGTGCTAGCTTGGGGAGACGTGCATTGTGTGCTAGCTTGGGGAGACTTTTGGATCAAACAAGATCTCTTTAAATAATATGGAAACTAGAGAGTTTATCTTAAATATAACATATTGTCTCTGGTAGATTTGCTTCCAGATTTTTAAAAAAATAAATTTAAATATCTTTCCGGATGACATGCCAAAATGACTGAGCAACGTATGACTTACGAACATATCCAATGACTGACCAACATATCAAGTGAACGAAAAAATATCCAATGAATGGTGAACGTATTCCACCATTGACCATACAATCCCCAAAACTTGACCACCTCATTACGTTTCTATATAATCTCTTTCTCTCTCTCTCTCAGCTGACGACTCTGGGGACGATAGCAATGGATGCTCCCCGTCTTGCAAGACAGGCATCGCCGTGTCATTGACCGTCCTTCTCCTCGTGGCCGTGGCCGGTGGCCTGGGATGGGTGGCCTGGCGCAGGAGGGGCACACGGGCCCCCGTGTCACTCAAGCACGTCAACAGCCTGGTGTCCATGGCGGCTGTTCCGTCTGACTACATCGTGGACGACCCGCGCGACCAGAGGACCCACAGCAACAGACTAACCTCATCGCCCGCTTCCGGTCAGTGCCAGACCAAAATAGGACTTGGGCAGGACGTGGTAAGAAACTCCGCCAGTGGCATTCGGCCGCCAGATGAACTTGGGTTATAAGTAGGGATGTTAATATAGCTTGTTGTTTTAGCAAACCAGTTATCGGGTTTAGAGATCCGGTTTGAAATCAGTTTTTGGTTTTTAAAGCAGTGCTCAAGTCCTACAGGAACGCATTCGTTTATTTCTTTGTTAAGAAATAATAAATACATGTTCAATTTGGGGGAGGGGCCTGTCCTCATGGGTGAGTTCCCACACTTTTGCCCCCCCCCCCCCCCCC